CCTCAGTGTCCACTCATGTCCACTCTTATATTTGCTCATGCCCTATAACTGATATTGAGCTCTTTTACCCATAAATATAGTGTACCTGAAAACTATATTTTTTTATTACACACACAGGTTGAAATGTCCTAAGATTCTGGGCTCAACTAAGAAGTGATCCACACTCCCACCTACAAAATTCTGATATTTGATCAGATTTAGGAAAAAGGGTCTGTCTGGCCAAGAACTCTTCAGCTCCCTGTACTCCCATATATGTGATCATCTATGCAATCTGAAACTCACGTTTGCAGATAATCAATACTGAATATTAAACAACAGTTATTGATTCTGATTAATATTTCCATGTTTATTCACATTGTCCTTCAAAATCTGTTGTTTTTAGTCTTGCTCTATTTCATTTGATAGTGTCTGTATGCTTCTTATAAATAAGCAACAAAAGTTCTGATGATGATAGGAATCCACATTGAAATATTCCACATGAAAAGCAAATCTTAGTGAACATATTGCTTAGATATTTGCATATTTTCCCCTCGGCACCAATGTTCAATCCCAAGTAAATCCCAGAGTTTTAAATGCTGCCTTTCAAGGTATGCTATCTCCCACTGGGAAGACTGATGTAATCTTTCAATCCCCTGCCATTTTGACCTTATGCCAGACTAAGCTAAACTTATATATTCTATATTAATTATTAGATTAGATACAATAATTTGATCCTTTGATTGATAGATACAGACAGACTAAAAAAAAAATTCAATTTTGGAATTATTGATCCATACCAGAAAAAAGAATATCCAAAATCATCTTTCTTTGACATGAGTGAATTATTTTTTATTTTTTATGCAGATTTTAAACTTTAAAAAGCAGACCGTAAAATCTTGTTAAATTCACGTCTTTCTTTTTTTAATCATATTATTACTTGTTAATCTTTTTTTACATTTTCACATGTTTTTTAAAGTAAAATATGTCTGTTTTGCCCTAGTGTTTTAGTTTTTTTATCCATAAATTAATTTTAGCCCTAGAAATGTCAAATCACCAGCTTTATACTCAACATTATTAAATCGACTTTACATCTGTTAATTCAGGTCATTACTTACTTCATATTATCTTCCTTTTATTTTCTTCCATAAAAAAAAAAAAACCGTTACTTTTTAAATATTTTTTTTTTGTACAACTTTATTATCCCAAAACAAAATGATGCTTCTTGCTGTCCAATACAGCAATGAAACTTTACTTTGACCGATGTAAAAAAAAAAAAAAATGTAGGGGTTATTTTTTTATAAAATTGAAATGTACATTTCTTCTCTTGATACCTTGACCCAGAAAGCCTAAAAAGTCATCCACAGTGCGTTTAAAAGTCTCAGTTAAGATGACTTTGTGGTAAATATACTTGTTTGATTATTTTTTTAAATTTATCACTTTATAAATATTAGATTAGTAGATTTGAATGTAAAAAACCGACAATTTTTCAATAAATGTGGGTGCGGTAACTGTTGTTGTTGAATGTGAAGAAATTTCTCTTTACAATAAAATTAAGACTGACCTAATATTTTGTCTACTAAATGATCCATTTTTAGTGTAGGTGTCTTGTGGTTTGGCTTTCTCGTGTGTCTTGTTCATACTAGTTTTTTTATATTTAAAAAAAAATTCTAATCAACACCAGGAATTGTTTCTTGAAAGACATTTAAAAAATTCTGTAAAAAAAAAATTAAAAATATATCTTCAGCTGTGAAACTTATGTTTTTTGGGTTTTTTTTCTTTCAACTAAATGATTTTATCTTTTTTAATAAAAACAATTTTTTTATTTACCCAAAAAATGTTTCTCTTTTTAAAAAGATGAATTTCCACCAGGAATTTTTTAATTTTTTGAAAAATACTTTTCATTTTTCAACCAATATAAATTTTTAAATCATGAGTTTAAAAATTTAAATAACACCCTGAATGACTTTCTAAATTTACAAAAGTTAGATAAAGATAACCTTTAGGAACCTATGGGGACAAGGGGGGGGGATCAATTGCCCTCACTAAGACACAATGCCACAAAATAATAACAAGAAGAAACAAGAAAGTGTTGTTTTGTGGGGGGGGGCGTTGACAATGCCATGTTTTCAATTTTACTATAAAATTTATTAATGATAATTTTGCTATAAAAATGTATCGTTGTACTTTTTTAGTGTTTTTTGACTTTTTGTTTAGTGTTTTTCATGGTGTGTCGTCCATTCTCTCTTAAGACCTCAAATTTGTTTTCTGTGGGTGATAGAGGTAACTTTTTTGTTGGATGGTCATGATATTTGGAGGAACTTTCTGGAGAGATCTATTTTGACTTTTGAGAGTTTGTGGCTGAATTGGTAAAATCTTTGAGATCTTTGTTTAATTTCTTAATTTTTGCCTTAGGTGAAAATTTTGAGTTTTACATAGATGATATTTTTGTTGAGCCATATTATGTGGGTTTGAAATAGGTTCTTCTGGTTTATTTAATATTTTTTTAGTATTATGGTAACTTTCAATCGTATATGTTCTTTTTAGGAGGTCATTTAAATTTTGGCCAGTCATTTGATTCTAGCTGCACCAACACCAACTGTTCGATGATTGTTCTATATTTGTCAGTTTTGTTGTTATTGCTGCTAATTGGATTCACCTTCTGAACTACATTGGCACTGGTATGGCCTTTCATATATGAATCTACTTCTACTATTTTTCTTACTTCTGGGAAAATTATATTTCTTCTATACTTCACCTCCATGATTTCTTTCTCTCTTATATATATATATATATAACCTTAAGGTTATCTCTTTCTTAATTATTTAATTAATATATAGAGAGAAAATGTATTAAAATATTTGTTGGATTTAGTACATTTCATAATATATGATGTCATTTGTTTACATTTAAGATATGCTTCAAGCAGATATGAGCGTTCGAGAGAAATGATGGGATATTTGTAGTTTAAAAACAGTAATCCGACCTTGCTAACCAGTTGCTTCTTCTGTAGCTAAATGGTACAGCATGTCAGACTATATGACAGTTCCATGTAGTATACAGGATTGATTCCTGTTGGAGGTCACGTATTTTCTATGAGGCCTGTAAATGTTGTTAATACTGTTTATTATAAACAGAGCATTTGCTTAAATATTTGTATCTATAAAAATAACGGATAAACAGAATATATATATATATATATATATATATATATATATATATATATATATATATATATATGATTGAGAGAAACAATATTTCAAAAAGGCTGGATAGTTTTTCTTGACAATTAGAGCATTTAAAATCATGAGTACACTCTTTCTCCATATGATCTTTTTGACCACATTTTCTACATACTGGGTGTGTCTTCTGCAACTCTCCTTGTAATTGCCATACTTTTGATACTTGAAATATCTCAAAGGATTGGGGATGCATTGTTCAACCCTCTCAATCATAAATCCAATTTTTATTTCTTTTGAGATTAAAACTCTATTAAAAGTTAAAATGTAGGTGTGTGTTTGAATTTATTGATCCCTCCTTCTTTACGCTTATCCTTCTATTGCTGGTGACCCCCCTTGCTTTCTTAAGGCTGCATTTATTCCCTCGGCTCTAGCCTGGGACAGATCTCTATTTCTGATAGCTCCTTTTGAGATGTTACATTTTTCATGTGGGTAAACTTTACATTTTAAATAGTGGAAAACTTCATTTTTAGTATGTTATCTGCATGTTTCTTATTGATCACATTTACAAGTAGATTGCCATTTCTCATTTTTTTTCACTGTTTGAGGATTTGCCCTGATTTTTTGATCAAGAATGGTGACAGATCAACCAGAGGAGTTTCCTCTAGAGATTTGTTTATGATGAATCTAGGGAATTTTGTTCCAACTTCTACTTCCAAATCAGATTTCTTTTGGGTTTTTTATTTATATTTGCTATTTGATTTCTTTGTTTGGACTTTTTTTTTCATTGGTCCTGTGCTCCTCCACCACCCATGGAATACAATTTCTATTGGAAATTTACAAAGGGGGTGGTGGGGGTTAAACACATTGACCTTGGCTGAGGTAGGGGATACATTCTTTCTATCTTACCATTCCATACCACATAACAGAGATCCTGCTTTCACTTTCAAAGCCAGTGTACTAATGATGAGTGGTGCTAGGAGTAATACTGAACAGAAAGGCAAGATTCTCTACCAAGTGTTCCAAGAAATAGGATTCAAGATAAACCTTTCCAAAACAGAAACTATAATTTGAGAATTGGAATGATGGCACATACCCTGAATCCATCATAAAAATTCAGGATGTGGATTTAGTAAATACCTTGGTGCATGGATAAGTTATAACAAAAATTTAGTATAGGAGAAAAAGAAATTGAATGTAGAACATAGAATAGCACTAGAGGTAGTTTTGTCTGACACTGCAAATTACTACAAAACATTAACATAAAAACTCAAGTCATGTTCTTAAATAGTTTCATCAGATTGAGTCTTTCATATGAATGTCATGCATGGTGCTAAACACTCCATCTTTTGACACTCCGTTTTTTGGCAGACATAAAGTTCCAAGTTTGTTGAATATTTTTTTAAAGAACTTGTTTTTTGTTCAAAGTAACAGTAAGAAGAATCAAAAATGAAAAAAAGTGACTGGTGTCTGCTTCTAAAATTTACACAAACAGAAAATCACTATAATCTTTTTTTTTTTTTTAAATCTAATTTATTTAAATGTGGGAGGAGAATCATCAGGTATTCTCAAGTTTTTTTTTTTTTTTTTTTTACTCTTAAGTTAAAATTAAATTATCTCAATTAATTTGAAAATAAAATTCTACACTACATAATGAAAATGACGTTTTGAATTTGGGGAACAAAAGACACTGACTTGTTTTTAACTTTATCGCCATTGTTACAAAATACACCTTTTTAATACATTTTGTTTAAAGATTTTTATAATACAAATATTATTCAACTTTTCTCTAAGAGCAAAAATGCTTACATATTTATTTATTGTCTTTTTACTTAATATTTTCAGGTCCTACTTGAATCGGCTGTGTGCAGTTTTTATTACTTAAATGGCAAATCACTTTTGATTTTGGATAGTTTTACCTGTCAGCCAACCAACCCCAAAATGTCTGGGGACCAAGAAATGCAAGATGTTCGAAAGCACATCCTTGAAGATACTCAAGGTTCAGACAATGCTGGTAAGTATTTATACCAATAAAACTTTACTTTCTCACAGTTGTCATTACTTATTTTGATTAATGTACAATGGTTTCATTGTTTTTTTTCTGGATGGTGTTTTACTAATGCCAGAACACCTGAATAGACAATTCTGTTGTCCAATATTCTTTGGAACCTATTTCAAATTAAAAAACAGGCTTTGAAAATCTTTCTCTTGGCAGTTCTGATTGACATCTACAATATTTAATTATATCTTCTCCTTTTTAATCCACTGACAGGATACAATAATATTTTCCAGAGCAGATGTATATATTTAAATTGGTGAGAATACTATCAATATATTCAAGAGATCCACATTTTCTATCAACTTAAAAATATTAAACAAAAAATTTCAAATGCATTTTTAATTTCAGAGTTGAATGGTTTTGGGGGTTTTGTTTCCAAAGAGGAACTGAGAATTCCTGTAGGTAAAAATCTATTGGCAAAATATGTTAAACATGGAATAAAATCTTCCCTTGCATGCCTATATGTTTCATCTCTTTTGATTTGCAGATCCAGTTTTTACTTTTCTATTTATGATTATCTAATCTTTTTTTTTTTTTTTTTTTTTACATGCAAAAATGTTACACAGTGTATTTGAATATATTTTCCATTCTGTCAATAATTATTTCCCATTACAGAAATAAATATTAATCTTTGTTAAAAACCATAAACTTTTAAAGAAAATAACAATTTTATTTTTATTTTTCTCCTTTTATTCCAAAAACAAAATTTTCTGTTTCTAATGGAATGAAACAGAACAATTGGCAATAACTTGCAAATTAAAATGATTTGAATTAATATTAGAGAATATGATCTTAAAGATGGTGAAGACTTTAACCCATGGGAATTTTTATCATTACATTTCTATGGCTGAACTGCAGATGATGGGAATTTTTATCATTGCATTTCTATGGCTGAACTGCAGAAGATGGGAATTTTTATCATTGCATTTCTATGACTGAACTGCAGAAGATGGAAATTTTTGTTGCTGTTAACATACAATAAAAAATAATGATGTGAGGATGATGATAGGTGGGGTTCAATTACTAAGAATGAAGAATGACCTAGAAGGTGAATGCCCACCCACCTACTACCATCCCCAACATCCTAATTGTCATGTGTACAACTAACATAATTTACTGATTGTATAATTTGCTTTTAAAATTATTTAATATACAAAAAAATCTATTTATATACAGTTTCTCTTTTGTTTTAAGTGTTTCTCTCTATCTCTCTCTCTCTCTCTCTCTGTGAAATGTGAACTTAAATATTTTTGGCTTTGGTGTGTGCGAGGAAACAACAAAAAACTACTTTTTTTTTTTTAAATAAAATGATTTTCTCACTAAATATAATATTATTTTTTCACTAACCCCCAAACCAATAATGCTTGCAACTGCATGGCATAAATGTGTTGATTTTTCAAAAAATATACTTCTGTTAAGCACTGAATATTGTTGATGTACATTGTATTTGCATATATTAAATAAATATGCATATTTTTAAAAATTTTTTATTTAATGGTATAAGAATTAGTAGCATTCCTAATTTTACAGGATAGTCTGTCTGTCTCTGTCTCTCTCTGCAGGCATGGCTTATTGTGGCTCTCCACGAGTATGTTAAAAAAAAAAATTCTGGAAAAAATTCATAGGAAATAAAATGCAAACTATAAAAATGATCACAGAAATTATGACTGCCATAATAAAATGCAAACAAATGTTTCTTTTATATACAAAACATTCTCAAGCATAAATCGACAGTATGAAAAAGCTAAAAATCTAAAAAGTTATAGAAATTGTCAATTTGTTTAGTTTTAAAACTGTTCTTGAGTTATATTCCAACTACACACAAAATGTTTAAAACATCCTTCTGTTAATGTGTTGTAATGATATGTATGACATATGAGTTATAAAATAAGGCTTGGTAAGGCTTCTTAATTATTCAAGGGTGGAGGTCATTAAATTTCTCAATATGATAATAATAATAATTTATTGTTAATTTGCAACTTCTACTTAAATCTCTTTCTTTTAAGTTTATTACTTTACTACAGATCTTCACCAATTTCTTGCTTTCTAAACAAAAGAAGAACCCCATTTTTTTATTTTTTTTCTTATAAATTTAACAACGATTCTTTTTTTTTCCATCTTGCTCATTCCAAATCAATGTTCTAAGATGAATTGTTTTCATTATTTCATAAATTATTCTTGCTACTATCTAGTTTTTATCAAAATGTTTCAGCAATTACACTTATTTGACCTTCCTCAGTCATCTCCACTCAGCTATAGATTAAATAATAGGACTTGTATCAGGAAAAATCATTGGTATCTTCAAAAAATTGTTAATTCAATAGACACCTGAAATAAAAAAAAAATTACATTCCAAAAATGTTGCATCTTTAAATAAACCAAAAAAGGCTGTAAAAAAACAAAACAAAATCAATCCTCAGTATGTATGAAATGCTGAGATTAAATATTCTTTTTCAATAATTTTTCAGACTAGCATCTTCATTTTTGTTGTTTTTATCATATTTCAGCAGATATTATCACTGTTCTTTCTCATATTGTGAACTGACCTCCAGAACTGTTATTATGGAATTTAAAAGTTGTGTGTTGGTGTATTATAGGTGGGTTCATGTTCACATATAAACAATTACAGAAGAAGCATACAAAAACTTGGGTTTCTACTATGGACCTGTTATTGCTTTTTTTTTATGGTGACTGTAGTAGGGAAACAAAATTATCAATGTCTCTTGGGTATATCCATTTCCTTTTTCTGGTCCAGAAGTTAGAGTAAGTAAGGATAAATGTCATAATGCTGAAGCTCAAGTCAGCCTTGTGCTGAGTTGAAACAACCAAAGAAAATGTTGATTTACTTCATAGGTGGAACTTTTAGAAGACACATGTGAACGCTATGCATTGGAAAGTGGAAAGAAAGTTCAGATGTCATTGGACAGGGGAAATGAATGTATCTCGGGGGTCGTAATTGCCATATGGCGCTACATCTTGGAGCAAGAGGGAGAAAAAAAAAGGAAGATGAAGGAACTGTTTGTCTTTTAATAGACTTAAACAGCACCACCTAAAGAGTGTTCGACATAGCCAAGTGGGCTAATAACATTTCTGTTTCCTGTACTACTCATATCATGGGGAAATGTATTTCTTTTTCATTTTTTTTATTATAAATTATTTTATTTATTGATTTTATTTCATCTCCCTACATTGTCCTTTCTCTTTGGAAAAACCATCCAAGTGTGGAAAATTAAGGAAAATGTGTATACAGTGTAACCCGGATATAAGAGAGTTGTCGGGAGCAGAGAAGAAGTCTCTTATATCCGGGTTTCTCTTATATCCAGGTCTCTTATATCCGGGTTACACTGTATTAGTTTTAAAAACAGTGGAGACTCTAAACAGTAGTCAGAACAATAATGACTGCTAAGGCTTTCAATAATTTAAAGAAAAAAAAGTAACATATTTGCTGACACTGAGGATCATTGTTTTTTGTTTTGTTTTTTTTTACTTACAATATTTAGTCCAGATACACAATTCTTCTGTTTGCATTTGCCTGTTAAAGACAAGTGTATACATAATGTATGGGTCTCCTGTTAGCCAGCCTGCTTGCTTTTAGTTTTCTAATTGAATTCATATTGACACACAAAGGCTTGCTTCATTATATTAAAAAAATGTTTTAGCAATGATGCAGTATTAACTAAATACATGAGTTTATTCCTGAAGAAACAAATTTACTATAAATGGCTTGCAAGATAACACCTTATTTATTGGACAAGTCCATCTTTGACACAAAATCATATCAGTTGAATTCTCACAATGAACTAGCATAATTATTTTTAGTCATATAACGAACATACAAGTGGCTGTATGACCACAAATGTTCTTTATCTGCATTTTTTAATGTTAAATCTGGGCTTTAATTATTTAATTAAAAAAAGATTCAGAAGTTTCAAGTTCAATTCCAAATCTACATAAATAATATTTTGTTTCATTATGTGAATTACTGCTTCTATAAATTCACAAACCAATGCTTTAATCCACTTGTTAACTTGGTGGTATTATAATTATGAGTTCAATCCCTGGTACAGGTGGTACAGACCCAGGACTCACTGGAAACAGGATTAGCAATAGTAACAGAGAACAAGATGAGATATCCCTAGACACAGACAATCTGCCTTGTAGATTAAATAAAATGTTCATTTAAAAGTTTTCTGAAGGTTACCCAGATCAGCCAACACCTGAAGAAGGTTGGAGAGCACAATGGCCAAAACATTGTGATAATAACAACAAGGATAAAGTCCTGTCTTTAGTTCTGAGATGAAGTATTGTAACTATTTATACTATTTAGCCTGTCGTCCTCATCTCCTGAAGAAGGCCAGAGTGTACAATGGCTGGAATGTTGTGAATATGACAACAAAGATAAGGACAACAGTCTGAACAATGTAAATTGTGTAGTTACAATTCCTCATCTCATAAATATAGACAGATATTGAAGGATCAGTATGGACCTGATATAAAAAATAATGAAGATAATTAGAAAAGTGTCTCCAAAGACACATGGCCCAGTGTATAAATGCATTGGTTGAAGTGATCCAGTGACTTGACCCAAAGAGTTGTGAGTTCAATACCTGGCCATGACAGAAGTGAACTAAAACTTGGAGAGTTGAGTTACTAAAGGGAAATAACTGAAACTGAGATATCCATAAAAGGCATGGCATGTGGAACTAGAACAATCTACCCCAGTGGATGAAATAAAGGGTTTGGTTTGAAATTCCACTCAACTGAAGAAAGCAGGAGCAAACAATGCCTGAAACTTTGTAAATACCTTAACAATGTAAATAGTGATAAAGACATTACTTCAAATGTAAATAATAATTCTTTCATCTTAAATTTTGTTGCTTCTTTCTAATAGTTTTGTAGTAATATATTGAATTTCTTCATCAAGGTCAACACGTTTCACTTGCTTGAAACTGTTT